GCATGAAGGGCAGGGGATGCTGCGGTGGGGATTTGCATGAGACAGCGCCTGGCGTGGAGGGGATGGCCGGTCCTGGGTACAAAGGCTGCTTAAGGACAGCACAGAGGACCTGGCTAAGATGCTTGAGCTTCCGGCTGTGAAGAGACACCCATGGAGGTCCAAAACAGGACCTTGATTCTCAATTCAGGGCTGAACCCGCCACCAGATTTGGGGTCGGGGAGGATATTCCCCCCCATATTGGCCTAGCATGGACCGTGAGGGTTTTGCCTTTCTCTTAGCATGAAGCATCGGTGTGTGTTATCAGCTATTTATTCCTGCTATGTCTCCCCTTCCTCCCACCTGTAGCCTGTTGCAGGGGGGTGTGCTTTGTGGCTGGGGTGTGTGAGAGGAGCTGTAGTGGATGATTTGTGGGCATCTTTGGGTGTTGAAGCCTGGATTCAAGAGACAGTAGGTCTCTCTCAGCCATGTGCTCTTAGAAAGCAGTTTGCCAGGTCCTCTCCTTGCACACAATATCACGGCTACCTGATGCATCACCTTTGGTAACATTTGCATGTCACATCATGACAGTGGTGACATGAAATTGGTGCATGTCAGGATCCTGACCCACACCTGGGAGAAATGTGCCCACCTCTGGGGTGGATTGACGCTGTAATGGAAATCAGCACAGCATCTAACCAGTGTTACAGCAGGGGTGGTCTGGGAGACCGACTGTAGTCACCCACCCCAGGACACTGTGACTTCATGTCTCCAGCTCTTTAAAGAGTTTCATCCTAATGTTAACCAGTCGAGGCCTTCCCGGGTTCGTTGTGATTGCACAGCATGTCGATGTGACTCTGTGCGACACGGTACAGATATATAACACAGGACAATCCCTGGCTCCAAAGAGCTCACAATCTTGGATACTGACAGTATGGCAGAGGGGTGACAGCACAGCCCAGGAGCGGGGCATGAAACCCAGCTACCATATGACCAGTCACAAAGCACCGTGTAAACCCGCATCGTGCAGGAGGCCTGGGCCTTGAATCCGGGTTGAAAGCCACGTAGCTCCAGGAGGACTCTTAACTGATGTGTCCATCCTGCCAGCGAGGATCCAGACCCAGGGGAGGAACCGGCTGTTGCTGGAAGGCAGATTCAAGCAACAAGCCTTTGCAAAAATCTTGCAAAAAAAATTTTGCAAAAATCTTGTTGGTCTAATAAAAGATATCATCTCTACTAGAGTCCTGATCCAAGCTACAGGCATGCCCGGAGCTTCCTGATGGCTCAGCAGGGACTCATCTGCGCTCCTTGAAGGTCCCTTTCCAGGCCTGGGCTTGGCCTTCAGAAATAGGAGGAATCTCAAGTTGCAGCAAGGGAAGTTCAAGTTGCAGCGGGGAAAGTTTAGGTTGGATATTAGGAAAAACTTTCTTACTAGGAGGGTGGTGACACAGTGGAACAGACTCCCCAGAGAGGTGGTGGCATCTCCATCCTTGGAGGTTTTGAAGACTTGGAGGTTTTGAAGCCTGACCAATCTAGTCTCTTTTTATGACCAGGATACGAAACGCCTGGACACAGGAGGAGGGGTGGATGTAGTATACTTAGACTTCAGGAAGGCCTTCGATACGGTATCCCACCCCATACTGGTGAACAAGTTAAGAGGCTGTGACTTGGATGACTACACAATCCGGTGGGTGGTGAATTGGCTGGAGGGTCGCACCCAGAGAGTCGTGGTGGATGGGTCGGTATCGACCTGGAAGGGTGTGGGCAGTGGGGTCCCGCAGGGTTCGGTCCTGGGACTGATACTCTTTAATGTCTTCATCAGCGACTTGGACGAGGGAGTGAAATGTACTCTGTCCAAGTTTGCAGATGACACAAAGCTAT